GCCGCTCCTAGCCGCGAGGGACTCACTTACGAGAGCTATAGTAGCCGTCGCCATCTTGCGTCCGTCGCGGCCGCCGCGCGCGCCACAAGCCCCAGCTCCTTCTACAGTCTCGCGCGATCTGGGCGCCGGACGCGGAACTCTCGCGGTAGACTTTTCCCTAGCTACGTGGACGGAGACCGGGATGCATTTCCGGGGCGGAGCAGGCAGTTAACGCACCAGAATTGGACTGAGCAGAGCGGAGCGGATGTGGCTGGGACGCGACTGGACGGGACCGGACGGGACGGGGCGGAGCGGGGCGGGGCGGGGCGGGGCGGGACGGGGCGGGAGTGGAGGCCGAGAGAGGGCTGTGGTGTTCGCCCCTTAGCGGTCTTGAGTCACCCTATTTTACCAGCACCCTTATTTCAGTTGAGTCCACTTGCAGAAAGCAGCGGGAAAGAGCGGCTGATTCCTTCTCGACTCCGTGCGTAGACAGCCGAGACGAGACAAAAGGACTGATGCATTGTCCATCTCTAAAGTCAGGAATCCGCATTTATTTGAAACAAAACCAATCTCTTTCCTAGTGAGAGAGTAGCCTCTTAAAACGGTGGACAGAGATGGCTCCCCAGCTAGTCCCGTGGTTACAGTACTGTGGGCATATCGTGCACACTGGACCCCAAGTCCTGAGCTATGTTTAAATCTGTATATTCATCTGTGCTGTGAGGAGGAGCTGCCCTGACATTTGTCTCGAAATTTGCTCAGCAAGACACCACACCGCATCTGTAAGCTCAGGCACCTTCAACTGCCCTTGACAGCCATTCTGTTTTCCAACACTGAAAATTTTAGAATCTAATATAGAGATACCTAGCAAAATAAGGCAGAATATTTTCCTCCCCTTTCGAAGCCCCTTTAATGCCACAGGAGCTATATTGAAAACAAAGCCTAAGAGAACAGAGAAGTGAAATGCTGGGTAGTTAGGGGAGGGTGGGCACTGACTTAGTTTTGTTTGTGATGGTTGTGTCTGGAATTTTCTAAAAAAGCGCAGATAGGTTAAAAAAATGTAGTTGCCTCAAGACTTCTTATGTCCCTACTACATGGTGCTAGAAGGTCTGGCTCTGCCAACAGTGGCTGCAACTTAGCTCTACTCTGGAAAAGGAGCAGGCCCAGCTTAGCATCTCGTTCTTTTTTGAGACAGGGTTTCTCTGTAGCTTTGGAATATGTCTTGGAACTCTGGGCCTCAAACTCACAGAGATCCTCCTGACTCTGCCCTGAGATTAAAGGTATGGGCCACCACCACCCTGTTTAGCATCTCATTCTTAAGCACAATCAGCCAGCCGTGATCACCATTCACAAGAGGATAAAAAAACAAGACACAGAAGGAACCAAAGCAATAAAGGAAACAGAAGAATAAGAACAGAAAGAAATATCAACCCAAAAGTTGTTGCATCCCAAGAATGAACATAAAGGCTACCAAATGAGATTTCTTCGAAATATAAAAGCTGAAAGAGGTCCAGCAGTGGTAATGGTACACACTTTAATCCCAGTACTCAGGAGGCAGAGATCTCTGAGTTTCAAGGCCAGCCATCAGAACTCTCTACAGAGGGAGTTCCAGGACAGCCAGGACTACACAGAGAAACCCTGTCTCAAAAGGCAAACAAATCTGAAAATGAACATGTTAATAGATTGAAAAGTGAAGTTTAGCTGTATGTGGTGGCCCATACCTTTGATCCTAGCATTCAAGGCAGGGGCAAGGCAGACGGATTTTTATGAGTTGAAAGTCATCCTGATCTACCTTTCTAAGCAGTCCAAGCAAGTTCCAAGACAGCCAGATATAAAGAAATCCTATCTTAAGACAAAATCAGGCAGTGGTGGCACATGCCTTCAGTGCCAGCATTCAAGAAGCAGAGGTAGGTGAATATGAGTTCAAGGCCAGCCTAGTCTATAAAGCAAGTTCTAGGACAGCCAAGGCTAACACAGAGAACACCTGTCTTGGAAAAAAAAATTTAAAAAGTTGAAAGGCTCCAATGTAATACATTGGTCAATAGTCTTCAAGATTTAGAATAGGATGGGTCTACCAGAGCCTCTAAAAATGGAGCCCACCCCACCCTTGCACCCCCCCACCCCACCCCCATCCCCAGGTGTTAAGTGGCCTGGGTCTTACTAACCACCATCAGGGGGAAACCAGGTACCATGCTCTGGTAGTAGCTTTCCGTTTAGAAAGCTGCTAAAAACTTAAAACTTAGATGTTAAATCTGTCCTTTTTAGATCTAACCAGAGGCTAGACTACATGGAGACAGCATTTGGCTGCTTTAGATATCTTGTGAGTTAATGAAGAGTCAACGATTTTTAGCAAAAAAAAAAAAAAAAAAACAGCTTCTGAATGTCTGTTACAAGCATGGCCCAGAACATAGTTGCCCCCATCCTGATTTTCCTGTCCTTTGTCACTCGGAAGAACCTAATGGAGTGGTTCAGCCTGTAAACACCATTGTTAGCTGGACCAGGATTTTTGTTTGTTTTTCCCAGACAGTGTTTCTCTATGTGTCCCTGGCTGTCCTGGAACTTGATGTATAGACCAGGCTGGCCTCCAACTCAGAAATTCTCCTGTCTCTACATTCCAAGTGCTAGAATTAAAGGTGTGTGCAACCACCACCCAGCTTGGACCAGCTTCTTAGAGTTACCAATAGGCAATGTCCCTCTGAGTCCTGCTCATGTGAAACTCCTAAACCATAGAATTTCATGGAGTTGCTTTTGAAAATAAGTCTTGTCTCCCTGCTCTACCATAAGCCAGAAGTCCAAATCAGTGCCTATTCCAATTGTCCCTAAGCAGCTGATGGGAGCAGATGCAAAGACAAACATTAGGCAAAGAGAGCCCAAATTGAAAATCTCCAAGTCCCTCCCCTTGGATCTTGGGAACCCCGCCCCCCAGGAAGAGGGGAAGAATAATTGTAGGAGCCAGAGGAGGTGGTGAATACCAGAACTTGGCCCATAGAATCAACTAGGCAGGGCTTCTAACAGCTCACAGAGACTGAAGTAGCCATCACAGAACTTGCATGGGTCCGTGATAGGTCCTTTGCATATATGGTATGGTTGTTAGCTTGGTGTTTTTGTGGGACTCCTAACAGTGGGAATGGGAGTGTATCTGACTCTTTTTGCCTGCTCTTGGAACCTTTTTTTTTTTTTCTCTTACTGGGGTGCCTCTCCTAGCCCTGATATGAGGGTTTGTGCCTTGTCTTATTGTATCTTGTTATGCAATGTCCCTCAGATATACCCAAGAGGCCTGCTCTTTTCTGAAGGGAAATGGAGGAGCAGTGGATCTGAGGGGCTAGGGAGCCTGAAAGGAGGGGAGGGAAAGGAAACTGTGGTTGGGATGTATTGAAAACAAAATAAAAAAAAGTCTTCATTTCTGCCCTTGAGCCCTCTCATGAGCAGCTCATGCACAAATGTGCATACACATAAACACATGATAAATGTAAAACAATAGAAAATACAAATATTCATCTCAATCAACTAGGAAATAGAGAAAAATTCACTAAGATGTCATTTTCTTTTTTTCTTTTCTTTTTACAGTGGTGAATTTCTGGTAATTTCCAAAACACTAGACAAAAAGAGACAGAAGAGCTCCTATACAAAAGGTCAGAATTCAGAAGCATGGTGATTCTTGGAACTAGAAGAATGTAACATGACACCCTTGAGTCCTGAGGAGAAAGGGTTTTCAGCTAAGCAAACTTCTTGTACCTCCCTACATTTTCAATCAGAACTAGGGAGGTGGAGGCAGAAGCAGGGAGATCTCTGTGAGTTCAAGGCCAGCCTAGTCTACAGAGTTCCAGGACAGCCAAAGCTACACAGAGAAACCCTGTCTTGAAAAACAAAAAACAAAACCAAACTAACAAAAGAATAAGGACAAACAAGCAAAGATTCCATAATTTCCCATATGTTTTTCTTGGGCAATTTGAAGGATGTTCGTTTGCAAGTGGGGTAAATGAAGGAAGAAGGATGTGTGGGACCTAGAGAGAAGAGAACAGCGTGCAGTAGAACCCTGGCACATGGCAACACATACAACTAAACCACAATACAGAACAAGCAGCCTGAGGCATCAGATTCTCAGTGAAGATTCAGAAAAAGAAGAAATAGTGGTCAGTTGTCCTTGATCCTTTTGAGAGGATCCCAATGATGAATTAATGGCAAACACATAGAGAAAACTTAGGAGGAGATCTGGTGAGAGGCTCAGTAGGCAATGGGGCTTGGCACCAAGCCTGATAATCTGGGTTCAATCCCTTGAGCTCACATGGTAGAAAGAAAAACTACCACAGATTTCCCTCTGCCCTCCTTCTGTGCTATCACACACACACACACATCCAAATGAATTAAAAAAAAAAAACTAAGCAAAAAAGAAAATTATTAACTTCAGAGAAAACAAAAAATTGTGCAAGAAAGACGATATAACCTAGGACACCTTGTTCCTTGCTGAGACCTATACCAGTAAGACACATCCATGATGTCCATCAAATTTGGATGATGCTGGGTCAGAGGGTGGGCAGGTGACTAGCCTTACAAGTTGCCATTGGGGACACCTAACATATAAAAATCAATAAACAGGACCCAAAGCAAGCTTGTGGCCTGGCATGGTGGCACACACCTTTAATCCCAGCATTGGGGAGTCTGAGACAGGCAGATCTCTGTGAGTTTGAAGCAGGCCTGGTCTATGGAGTGAGTCTGAGGCTAAGAGACTGGAATTTGTGAAAAATCAGGGTAGAAAACTATTTGTTATTTACTATTGACCCTGTCCCCTTGCAACAATTCTACTTCTAAAAGACTATGCAATAAGGCATGATGACTCACACCTATAAACATCACTGGCCTGCCTGGTCTGGATACTGAGTTCCAGCTAAGTGGGGCTATATAGCAAGACTATCTTATCTCTAAAGATACGCTGAACAGAGACAATAAAGTATATGCTTTCAGATCAGTTAAATCACTTGTATAATCTCTTATGGATTTTCCAAATAAACTACATCAGACCATAATCAGTGTTCATTCAATTTATTAGATGTCCCATGACAAATCTGCTTTTTTTAAGGTTTTGGTTAAGATGGTATGGTAGGCAACACAACAAGACCCCCACCCCTGCGTGTGCCCATGGTATCCACAGCACCAAAACCCAGGATGATTAGTCTCCATAGTAAAAGGTACTTGGCAGGTGTGGCTCCTCTACAGACCCTGAGAGGGATATCATCCTAGATTATGTAGGTGGGTCCAACCTACTCACAAAAGGCCCCAACCTTCCAGGCAGTGGAAAACCAGACAGCTAGTCCATGATAAATATTCAACCTGATGCTGCTGGTCTTGAAGGTGGAAGGAGAGTTAAGAAAAATTGGTGGCTTCTAGAAGATGAGAAGCGCTCTTAGTTGGCAGCTGTAAGAAAGTAGGAATTTCTGCCTTACCATGGCAGGGAATTCTGCCAATAGCTTGAAGGAGCAGGAGGTGAGCTCCACCCACAACTCACTCCCACCTTCCAGAAAGAAACACAGGCACTGATGCCTGGGTTTTAGTCTAGTGAGGGCCTGAAGCAAACTTCCGATGTACAGAACAGTATCTGTGTTGTCTCAAGCTACTAGGTTTGTGGTAAATGTGACAGCAGCAATATGGAACTATTAATAATACAGTAGTGAGCCTTTCTGGTTTCACAGATGAAGAAGTGTTTCAAAAGGAACTTGAATGCATTAAATTTATACATTTAAAAACATTGGAGACCTTTAAATTTGAAGTTGGAAGACAGGCAGTTCAAGAACCAAGAAATCAGGGTGGTTGTGAGGGGAAGACTCTATCAAGACTTTGCAATGAGTAGGATTGAGACAAGTTGGCTTGGGGACAAACGGGGGGCCAGGAGCCCTCAGTCTCAGAATTCCAACACACAACTTCCCCAGGGAGGAGGTGCAGAGGATGTCAGACCTCTGAGCCCTCAGATCTGGAATGAAGAACAAAAAGATCCTGCTGGAAGACACTGGGGAGGACATAGGTTCTGGTCTCAAGTATGTGGAAGATTAGAGGAAGGGCTCAGGGAAGGTCTGCATGGGACTGGAACTGGCATGGGTGGGACCAGGAGTTTGCTGGCCATGGACCCAATCCCAAGCTCTCTAACCTCTGGTTCTCCAACCACATCTGATCTGCCTGATGCCCAGGATTGTGTTTGACACCTGAACAGGCTTTATTACTTTTGAATTCAGACTCCTTCCCTAGGTGTCTATATCATCTGAAGGTATGGCTGTTGTCCTAAATGACCTGTATCCTCTACTTTCATGCAGGCTTGGGGCTCCATCACCACTCCAGGCACCCATATTGCTGTATAAAACGGAGTGGGGGCGGTGTCTTCACTAGCAGGGCTTGTGTTCATTGGTTCCACAGTGTTCATTGGTTCCACAGAACACAGGCAGAAGGCAGCTCTGAGCAGTATGGGGCTCTTTGCCAAGTGGACAACCCCAAGCCCTGGTATCCCTGCTGGGCTGCCAGGACTGAGAAGGTCAAGCCTGTGTCCCACGGTACTTGAGAAAGGTGGTCTCCAGGAAGGCTGCTAGCTTTGTCCGGTCATCCTGCAGTGGATAGGTAGGGAAGCATGCATGGGAGTACTAAGCAGCTCAGCCCAACCTGTACCTTTCCAAACCTACAGTGCACCCCACCTACCTCATGCAGAAAGCCATAGTGCACAAGTTCAGCGGCAAGGTCCTGGGCACTGTCAGCTGAAGAGAGGACATAGGACAAGTGAGTTGTAGCACCAGCCAGCGCCCAAGCTCCAGCCCAATACCAGGTCTCCTATCAGCCTACTTGGGAGCAGGTCATAGGTCAGCTGTCGATGTAGACGATCTTCCAGTACCAAAAGCAGAGTAAGCTGTGGGTGAAATGGCATGGTCAGGGTGGCACCAGCGTTGATTCCTCCCTATTTCCCTAGCCTTGCCCAAGGCCCTTGCTCACATGCCACCGAGCCTTGTCCTCACTTCTCTCCAGGTTGCATTGCATCTGGACCACCTGAGAGCAGGGAAGCTGCATTAGTCACAGAGTACTACTTAGCAAACATGCCCAGAAGGACCAGCAGAGACCCAAACATGGTAAACTTCTCCAGGGGAAGTCCAGAGAACTCATCTCTTCGGTTTGGGTACTCAGTGATAAATAGAACACCTTGAAAAGGGGAGAGAGACAGAGACAGAGAGGGGAACACTATGTCCCAGGATGTAACTATACAGAAAAGTAAGGTGACAATAGGAGCAGCCAGGAGGCTGGGGCTCACACTGCCTTCTACAAGCTCTCTGGGCAGCCAGGATCCAGGACACTTTGATTCCCAGCATTTGAACTTAGGGTACACTGTGGAAGGAAGGAATCTAGGAGGAGGGAAACCAGGGTGATGGTTCTGGATACAGATGAGGAATAAAGGTGGCCAAAGCCTTTGCAATAGGACGGAGAAAGAGCTGCAAAAGCAAGAAGCCTCTGGGGAAAATAGGTTACAGTTTCCACAAAGGGGTCAACTTGGGTTTGATCTCTGGCAGCCTGGAGGAGAAATGAGATGGGGGAGAAACAGGTCCACAGAGAAAGGCACCCATTATCCAGTTGTGGGCAATTCTGAGAGACAGCACAATGCAGCAGGAGTTGGGACTCACCTTCCTGGTCTCTGAGTCAAAGGGTTCTGGTGTTGGGGTTTTGGCCTTCTGGGCCTCCTCTGGGGGTGGTGCTAACACACGGGGAAGTCCCAGGGGCCGGGCAGCCGCAAAGTTCATCAATGGATAGATCCCATTCCTGGAGATATAGCAAGGGATAGCTGCAGGCTCAGGCCTGACAGTGCTTTTCCTCAGTCTTATGCCAGCTCTCACCTGACATCCTCTAGGAATTTGTCCAGCTCCAAGAAGGAGACCTCTGAGTACCTAGAATGGGGTGGTAGGTACATGAGGAGTGTCAGGCCAAAGGCTAGCCAGGTAGCTGGTAGGGGAAGTATTATGTAGCCACTGCTCACCGCCACTGCATTGGGGGTCCTTGGAGTTGGGGCATCTCAGCCAAGACTGCATGTAGATCCATTGCTTTGGTCTTTTCTTCTACCACATTTTCTGGCATGAGGTCTGTGAACCACAAAAATGCTCAAGGATATGGGCCTAAACTAAGGGTCCTGCAAAGACCCTTGCATGTTCTGACCCCAGGGTCCTGGCCCACCCAAGCACGTATGCCCCTTACACTGGTGCTGGATGAAGCAGTGGGCTGCCAGCAGCTTCAGCGAATGCACCTCTAAGAGCACTCGGTGGAAGAGCAGGTTATGGGCAGAGGGCCTGCGGGCAGGGTCCCGGGCCAGGCAGGAGAGGATGAATTCCTAGGTGTAGAAGGGAAAAGCAGGTGGTTAGTGGGAAGATCCTTGCTCTAGAGGAGGTCCCTGAAGACCCTAGACCCCACAGGTCCAATCACCACATCCTCCCTCCTCAGTAATGCTGCAAGAGCCTCCATGTACAATGCACAGAAGAGAAAGGCATCCCATTAGCTGACAGGCAGATCTTGAGCCCCAAATACCCATGCTCTACTTCCATTCATCCTGGTGAAATTTGTGAGCTCCCAGAAATCTTTTCTTCCAGGTAGGCCTTAGTGCAGCAGTTGGTACACTTTCAGATGCACTGACCAGGCCATATCTCTAGCCTGCCTCTACAGCACTGGCAAAGTAAGCCGCTTACCCGCATGTTGGGGTCACTCAGTGAGTGTCTGGCTCGAGCAATAGCCTCTTCTGTGACCCGGGTATCCCCATTGGCTTGGATCTCCAGTACAGCCATCTGGGTACAGGGACAGATTGGTCATGGTGAGATGGGATGCAGCCCAGAGGATAAGAGGCTATGCAGAGTGGACAGTACCTCCAGTGCACACATCCCAAAGGAGAAGATGTCCACTGCAGTCCCATCATTGACTTCTGAAATGGGAAGAACAAGGCAGGGTTGGTCAATCTGATGTGCCAGCAGGTCAGGTACCCCAGAGCTCCTTAAGGACTCACCACCATACTCTGGTGGGAAAAAGTGCAGGTTTCGAAGTTCTTCCCGCTCAGCGCGGATGGGGCTCCGGAGATCATCAGGAAGTGCTAAGGAAGAGCGTAGGGCTGAGCAGACCAGTTTCTCCACCCCAGAGGTCCCCATACCCCAGAGGCCCCACGCACCATTGGAGAAGATGCGGTACCACACTGCAATGGCCAATGCGGAGAGAAAGAGTAGGCGTCAGCAGGCTGGCACACTGGACAGTCTCTGGGCTCCCGCAGGTTCCCCAACCCTGCCCCCTGTCCCGCCCCGCCTCGCCAGCACCAGAGCCGATCTTGATGAGGCCATTGTGCTGAATGAAGATGGTGTCGCTGGTCAGGTTCCCGTGGATGATGGGGGGACTGCAGGCGTGCAAAAAACTGCAAGCATAGAGGAAGGGAGGCAGGAAGAACCGGGTCAGAGGGCACCGGAAAGGTGCAAAGCAGGGGGCAAGCACGTGGGCAACCCCAGGTCCTCACCTGAGTGCAGACAGGATCTGCGTACACCAGCGCTTCCAGGCCTGGCAGCGGACGCACGACTCCGTCAGGTGGGCACCAAAAGGCTGCTGAGCCTGTGGAGCCTGCCCGCTATCCCGCTCCTGTCCCGAGGCCACTCTGAGTACCCCGCCCCATTACTGTCCCTAAGTTCTTTTGGACTCCCTTCAGTCCCCAGCCCACTCCCCATACCCGGGCGTTCATGGCCTTGTGGTTCTTCTTGGTCTTTTTGAGGAACTGCTTGAGGCTGCCAGACGACACGTATTCTGTGATGAAGATGACCTGCGGGCAGGCGGGCTCCGCCGTTGCAGGTGGGTCCCAATGCTGCCCCACCCAGCCTGTGGCTTCACTCCGCCCTACACCCGCCCCTAGCTCACCCTTGCGCGAGCCTCAGAGGCGTCCAGCCAATACTTGTGCAGCTTGACTATGTTGGGGTGGTCCACCAGCGCCAGCTGCTCAAACATGGTCTGGATCTTCTCCTAGGGAAAGGAGGATGGTCGTGGGAGCAATCACGATATGGAGCAAAGGGGGTTTGGGCAGGGCTCACCTCATGGGCCGAAAAGGCTTTCCTATCACCGAAGTGGAGTTCGTTCCACACCACTTCTACCCCCTCCTCCGTGTCCATGGCCAGAAAGGTGCTCTGGATTCCCGGCATATTCCCTTGGTTCACCTAGGTGGGAAAGATGTGTGTTCTGATACGAATAGAACCAGGTTGTGGACGTAGTCCCTGCCACAACTTTTCCCCAACCATGAATGTGCTGCCTGCCCTGCCAAGCTCAGTGGGAGAGCTGAGGGTGGTGAGGCTGGGGACCTACCCCCTAGGAGGATAGGGGTGGTGTTCAGTGGTGGACCAGGACGTTAAGTAGGTTTTAGAGATTGGAGACCATCCCCAGAGGGGTAACAGGGGATTCAAAAGGCACGAGGAGGTGGTCTTAGGATGCCACTGGCGTTCAAGGAATTGGGGGGGGGGGACGATTCTCACCAGGCGTGGGGCCAAAGAGATCGAGGGCCTCGAGAGGCCAGGGCGTCAGGGGAGACCGTCAGGTTGCCCCGGCCCCACGGGCCCCCGTGGCCTCCAGCCTTAGGCTACAGGACTGCGGTGTCATTCGCACCCATGCCCACCTGCTCCCGCCGCTTCTGCCAGCGGCCACACGGGCTCTCCTCCAGGATGTCGCTCTCGTCCTCGCTCTCGTCCTCCCGCTCCCGCTCGCGGCCTCGCCTCGGCGCCGGCTCCGGGGCCGCCATGGCTCGGCGGGCCCAGGCCGCCGCCCTCGGCGCAAGCCGTCGTCCTTCTCCCGCTCGCCCTGGCCCGGCGCCCGGCAGCCCAACCTTGGAGCCCAGCGGAGCAGCCACCGCGAGCCCTTCTCGGCTCCGGGAATTGGGAGGTGCGGGCTCACAGCGGACTCGAGGGAGGAGCTGCCCCGCCCCTCCGGAGCCGCCTCTGCGAGGTAGGTGCTGGAGTGTAGCTCGACCATGGGCGACAGAGCCCCGCCTCGGACACTCCCCATCCTCCCAGACCACGCCTGCTCCCACCAAAGCTCCGCCCCGAAGAGACGCGCCCCTCAAAGGCACCGCCCATTTCTGCGGAGGCCTCTTCTAGGCTTCCCCAGGCAACAGTTCGCAATGGCTGGCCTCCTTGGGAACCACTCTTGGAGCCAGTTCTTGCATTGCATCCCGATTCTGCTCCTATCACTTATGTCCTGAACTCCACCCAATGTAGGGGGTCTGACAGTCTGGATTGGGCAGCAAGGGTCAAGGGCATTTGGGAGCAGGCACCTAAGTGGCAGGGGGCCATATGGTTTCAGAAATGGGGCCAGCTCTCCCTCCCCTCCGGCACCCAAGGGAACACCAGGAGAGCACCACTAAAGGTGGCAGGTGAACACACCAACACATCAGCAAACTGTCAGGATGCACTTCAAATCTTGACCACCTGTCTCTCCCTGACCCAGAATTCCATGCTTCTTTTTCAGTGAATAAGCCCACTTTGCATAATGGCAAGTTTCTCTTTTCTCCCCACATGTGACCCTCTCCTTTTCACTTGCCACACCCAGCAGAATTGCCTAGAAACCTTTATCCACCCACCCTCACTTCCCTCACTCTCACACTTGCCCTCCTACCCACGTTCACCTCCCCTTGCTATATAGAGACCATAGTCTGCCTGCCCTCTGATTTAAATACCAGCTGGGCCCTGACCAGCTCTGCTCCCTCTGCTCCTGACTTCTGTTATAGCCTGCTCAGAATGCTGCCTTTTGCCCTGGTGGTCTACCTAATCTGAAAAGGGCTGGCCACAGAAACTAGAATAGGGCCAATGATTGGAAGACAATTTCCAATTCCCTGGATCCACTTATTTGTGTCTTTTTAACTGGGGCCCTAGCCACACAGGAGAGTCTGTACTGAGAATGTAAATGATGAGGAGCCTTGTACCACTGTGCTAGAAGAGCCTCTTGAGGGTTCATAGACTACAGATGGAACACAATTAAAAGCCTACAACATTGAGGGCTCGTAGTTAATAGTACTTCTGCAGCTTATGTAAAGCAAAGGACATGATCAACAAGACAAAATGGCTCCCTGAAGAATGGAAAAGGATCTTCACCCACCCCACATATCTAAACAGAAAATTATCAACACAACAATCTCAAATGGCAGAAAGACACTTAAGGAAATGCTCAACATCCTTAGTCTTCAAGGTAATGCAAATCAAAACCACTCTGAGATACCATCTTACACCGATCAGAATGGCTAAGATCAAAAACACCAATGACAACTTATGCTGGAGAGGATGTGGAGAAAGGGGAACACTACTCCATTGCTGGTGGGAGTGCAAACTTGTACAGCCACTGTGGAAATCAGTATGGTGGTTTCTCAGAAAACTAGGAATCAACCTACCTCAAGACCCTGCAATACTACTTTTGGGCATATACCTGAAGGAGGCACATTCACACCATAAGGACATTTGCTCAACTATGTTCATAGCAACATTATTTGTAATAGCCAGAACTTGGAAATAACCTAGATGTCCCTTAACAGAAGAATTGGTAAAGAAAATGTGGTACAATTACAAAATGGAGTACTACTTAGCAGTAAGCAATAACATCCTAAAATTCACAGGCAAACAAAACTAGAAAAAAAAATCCTAAGTGAGGTAACCCAGACCCAGTATGTACTCACTCATAAATGGATACCAGACATAAAGCAAAAGATTTCCAGCCTACAATCCACAATCTCAGAGAAGCTAGAACCCTCTTCCAGAAACATGGAAGCAGATGCAGAAATCCACAACTAACCAATGGGCCAAGCTCCTGGAATACAATCGAAGTGAGGGAGGATCAATAATATGAACAAAAGAGTCAAGACCATGATGGGGAAACCCACATAATCAGCTGACCCAAACTAGTGAGAGATCACTGACTCAGGTCTGACAAATGGGGAACTGCAGAAGACCGAACTAGACTCCCTTAATATAGGTGACAATGGTTTGACTGGGACAATATATGAGGCCACCAGCAGGGGGTCCAAGATCTAACACTAATGCACAAACTGACTTAGTGGAGACCATTCTATATGGAGAGATACCTTGCCCAGCCTAGAGACAGGGATGTGGAGGTGGAGAGGTGCTTTGGTCCTGCCTCAACAAGATGGTTAGTAGACTTCCTAGGGGAGGCCTTACCCTCTCCATGGAGCAGATGGGAGATGGGGAAGAGAGGGGAGAGCAGGAAAAGAGGAGGGAGGGGAAACTGGGATTGGAATGTAAAAAATAAATTAATAAAAAAAATCTAAAAAAAAATTTCTGCTCTTGCAGAGGACCTAAGCTCAATTTCCAGTACTGACAAGACTGTTCACAACTACCTGTTACTCCAGTTCTAGGGGATCTGATGTCCTCTTCTGGCTTCCATGGGTATCAAGCACACAGTGCTACATGTACATATGTACAGTCCCTGACTAATATACATACATGATATATATATATATACATACATACATACATACATACATACATACATACATATATATATATAATCTTAAAAGTAACCATAACACCAAGGGTAGTGGTATTTACGCATTACTGCTTGCAGAAACACATGTGCCATCAGGGACAGGACATCTGGATGCCCACACAGGCTTTCCCTGGGTCCATCCCACATGACCTCTGCCACCAAGGTTTTTGTTCATTTGTTTTTTGGTTGGTTCTGTTTGTTTTTTTGAGGCCCTGGCTATTGTGGAACTCACTTTGTTGACCAGGCTGGCCTTGAACTCACAGAGATCTGCTTACCTCTACCTCCTGAATGCTGGGATCAAAGGCATGTGACACCATGTCTGGTCTCCCCACTGGTTTTCATAACCTGCCTGGACTCTGACTGCTGCACTTGACAGGCCCATTCCTGCAGGCTCTTTCTCCAATTGTGTCTTATGCATAGAATACACTTTCTGTTACTCTTCAGGTCTTGACTCAGGTGTTTTCTCTCAAACAAGACCTTCCTGAGCTCCATCCTTGCACAACTCCTTTTCTCCTAGCCTCAGTACCTTCTCCATGACATTTGGCACTTGACCTGTATGTGTCGGTTTGCTTCATCTGTCCATCTGGAATGTGGTAAGGGTAGAGTGTCTGTTCTTGGCACCAAGGACAGTGTTCAGCACACACCAGGCCCTCATCAATGAAGTGATTAGATGTGCAGGTGTGTGTGTGTGTGTGTGTGTGTGTGTATACTCGAAGCGGTAGAGTCTTGAAGTGTTAACATGTGAGCCTAACCTCAGTGCATTTTCTTTCTTTTTTCTGCCCTATAACAAGTCACAGGTCAAACAGATGTGTGCATTCTAACCTATTGCCTGGGAAATGACCTTTTTTGAGACAACTCTTACTGGAATTAGGGAATCCAGTATTTGGCATGGGGCTGAAGCCTGAGGTATGTTCTTGGTCACATTCTTCAGCCACTGCCCTCCAGTCCCTGCCTCCACTCCTGTCTATCTTCACATTCTGCCAAGTTCTTGCAGTTTACCAGATGTTCTTGGGGCTTACCCCTTCTCAGAAATCATCTACCTCTGTGACATCTTGCCCTGTGCTTTAGCACCTAGTGCTTTTCTTCTGCCTCTCATGGATCTACCATGACTCCTTAGGTATCCCTTAAGGGTGTCTCTGAGCCTCTTCCTGCTTGATGTAGGGTAATTTCAGAATTCCTGACTGTTTCTTTCCCCCATCAGGTGTCTCTTGGGGCTTAGGCAGGTATCTCCAGAATCCAAACATTCCAGGTAGACAGACAGGAGGCCAGGAGGCTCCTTGCCTTGCCCTGCCACTTGGCTTTATGCTCTTAGGCAATACCCTCCAGAACAGCAGACTGGATTTGGAGACTTGCCTCTAAGACCTGGGGAGAGCAGCGTGGTGAGAGGCTGGCCCCTTTGGGATGAGTGGCTAAACTGTGGTTTCCGTTCTTGCTCCGAAGAAGCTGACATCGATCTTCTGAGCTCCTCTGGGGAACCCAGTGTGACAGGAAACTTACTGACATCAGTCAGTGAGGACAAACCACCCTCCCTCAATTTCTCAAGTTTGATTTCCTAGTGAGTGTGTATGTTTGAAAGTGACCAGTTAAGAAAAAAAATGATCAGCTGTTTCAAGAGATTTCAGAATATTGCGTGGGAAATACACAAATATCGAATCATTAATTACTACTAAGAAACAGAGGCAGCAGTGCCAAATGGAAGCAAAGGATCCTATAGCCAAATGCTTCTCTGGTACAAGGCCCTCAGTGATGAAACCTCACCACCATACCCATCAAATCGCCATCAAGAACACCTTGGACATTTACATTTTTATTGAACAAAATGTACCAGAAAGATCAAATTGCACTTGATCAATTGAACAGTAGAAGCAGATAAATATGAAGCCATGTAGTGGGCACTCCTCTCTGGATGAGCTTCAAGCTCTTCATGGACTTGTCGGTAGTTACAGCATTCAGCAGCATTTACAGGAGGAGGAGGAGGAGGAAACTGATGTAAAGATACAAGTTATTTCTCTTCTTGAGATGACTTACTAGATGTTACAGGGGAGTTTTATTTATTTTTCATTATTGACTAAAAATCGATGGAAGTTGAAAACAAAATGTAACTTGTTTAATAAGGGACACATTGTAACATTTTCCTTCTTATTAAGAGAGTTGTTGAAGCTGGGCAGCTGTGGCACACATCTTTAATCCCAGCACTCGAGAGGCAGAGGCAGGCAGATTTCTGTGAGTTCCAGGCCAGTCTGGTCTATATGAGCCCATTCCAGGACAGCTAGGGCT